GAAATAAATGGAACATCCTGTGAATATCTTTTTTGAACTTCTGAATATGTCCATGAAATGTTCTCAAATGGACGTCCTAAAAACATCCTGTAAATGTCCATTCGAAGACCTGAAATGTTCTATTATGGACGTCCTAAAGACATCCTGATTATTAACAATGGACGTTACAAAGACGTCCATAAGATGTCCACGTCCGTAAATTGAACGTTTCGAGGATGTCCTGAATGTCCAAGCGGGACGTTTTAAAAACGTCCATAAGACGTATTTAGACTATCTGGAGTATGTTTGTTTGTTACTGTCAAGCTTGGGATCTGTATTTGACAGAGTATTATCGATATTATTGCTTGATCAATTCGCGAACGGATGGCGCTCCTTGATATAATTCGAACTCACTTTAAGTACATGTATTTCTTAATTTGAAAAAAGTATTTTTTTTATTAACGCGCGCGCCTGCTGCCTTATTTGTAACCCTCCTTTGTGCGCCTGCTGCCTTAGGCTTGGTAGCTGATTTTCAGGCTCCCTCTCCGGAATCGGAAAATATCAATGGTAATTTTTCTAAACAATATACCGCTGATTGATCCCAAAGTTTAGATAAAATAAATATGCTCGAAAAGCCTAAAAAACACGCTTTTATAGCATACGAAACTAAAAAATGAAAAATAAATATAGTTTGAAAAAATAAAAAACACACTTTTAAAGAACATCGAACTCCAAAAAATTAGAAATATTTTTTTGAATAAGCTTAAAACAATAACGAACGAAAAATACTAGTATTATTGTGAAAAAGGCGTGGGCGCTTTGTGTCATATTTTTTGTATATCAAAAGTGCCCGACACTTTTTTCACAATAATACTAGTATTTTTCGTTCGTTCTATATTTATTTAATTTACCAACATTCCTCGAGAATAATCGCGAGCACGCAGAATCAAGCGACCCACGGTCCCAACTGACATGTTACGCAACGTTCGCAGATTTTTTGCGCTGCCTGTTGCATTGGTCTTCATCCGACTTAAAAAAGACTTGACCGAAATCGCTGTACACATGAGTAGGACAAAAGTATTTCGCTGTAAATTCGCCACGACATCCTGGTGCCTTAGATGAGACTTCACGTTATGACATCATTGTATCATTTTAGATGTTTGCTATGTGTTTTTGGACATGCGGGTGATCAATGGATTCAGGTCCCTTTTTCCACTCATTTGATAATTATCGTAGATGAAATCATACTTACAATGAGGAACAGGAGCTTCCTTTTACACCTTTATGTGCATCTAACCTTACTTATCAAAAAACGACCCGGATCCCTATTAAAAAAAAAGCGGCCAACTTCAATATTCTTTTTAATTAAAATGGTTACAATGTATATTTCCTATTTCCACTTAAAGCATGACCCAACTCATATCATTTCCTTTTTGGTAAGTTCTAACCAGTCTTCCTATCTCACTTATAATTGACCTTCAACCAGGTATTATGATTCAAGTAGACATCACACATTCGATCCAAAAAGTTTCAAACAAATCATAAATTCAAATGCTCAGGTGGTTTGATTTTTCTCTGAGGTCTACTGACTAATACCTACCAATTGCTACTTTTACATGAGCTTTTTCTATTTCAATATTTTCACCAATTTCCGATTCACTTTCTGCTTTTTGCACTCCTTAAACTGCCACAGTAGAATCACTACATACTACATTATTTAAACTATAACTAGTATTCGTAATTATACTGATGTTATGGTTTTTTTTGTGCTCATCATTTATTCCCAACTATAGAGTCAGATGCTACAAATGCAATACGGATTTATACAGACGGCTCAAAAACCAAAGAAGGCTCAGGATGTGGAGTGTACTCCAGGTCACTGAGCCTAAGGATTAAGTGGGGAATGGGAAGAAATACCAGCGTGGTCCAAACAGAACTGGCTGGTATCTCAATCGCCACAAAAGAAATAACCAAGAAAGGAATTTCTGGCAAAAACATAAGATCCTGCACTGATAGCAGACAAGCACTATTAGCCTTGAACAGACAGCGTGTTACCTCAGGGCTAGTACTAGAGTGCCACCAAGATTTAGGCAAAGCCTCGGTAGATAATAACATTATCCTGAGGTGGGTTAAAGGGCACGACAGGAGTAAAGGTAATCGCATTGCCGACTCTTTAGCCAAGGAAGCGGCTGAATTAAGAATTTTAGGACCAAGTGGCACCTACGGCCTGATGACTTCGACAATTGCGGAACTAGTCAAATGTTACACCCATGCTCAATCCTTAAATAGATGGGATGGAATCAAAGGATGTAATCTTGCCAGGATCAGCTTGGGCAACCCTGGGAAGCTAGCGCCGAAGAAATATCTGGCGATGACCAGGAAAAATCTACGCCTTACAGTAGGATTTCTAACTGGCCACTGTCAACTAAGGAAACACCTCCATAATATGGGGCTAGTGGACACACCTCTATGCAGGATGTGTGAACAGGATGATGAGACTGTCAGGCATGTCCTGTGCGAGTGCCCGGAGTTATCGTCAATAAGAGAGTGTGTTCGGCGAGTCTTGGCCTACACCTGCCGATATAAAGGAGATGTCTCCCAGCGACCTGTCCACCTTCCTGGAAAGGACAGGATGGAAAACGACCTAGGAGGACAACTCCTCGGGAGGATGTACAATGGGTCACATGTGGCCTAAGTGCGTGGGCTTACACTCACCCTCCCTACTCTACAGATACTGAGATACAGACATTCCCGACTATTTCTTCGACTTTACTATTTCTATTTAACTTTCTCACGTATCATGGACATATTATCCTCATAAAACTTATCTACATCAATTATTTGATCGGAATGTGGATGCAACTTTAAATTACGATCATTGACGAGTTACATAGGTCTTTTTTATGACCTAGTTTGCCACATATAACAACTTTAAACTACACTGGTTTAGTAATATTTCTACATTTTTTATATACTAATTCATCTTCTTCAAAAAGTACCTTTCAGTTACCATGAAAATATTTAATCTGATTAGACCCAGCCTCATGAGCCGCTGAACGGGTCATGAAACCAAGTCTAGTCTTGATTTTTATAGAAAAGCATTATTTGTGATGGAGTTGGTTCATTTACACAGTGTGAAGTATTTCTCTAGGAAAATTAATATTTGCTTATTGATGTCGACTATCATTGTTGAATAAAAGTTTGCTTGCTGCATTTTTCATAAGACTTCACAATGTTTTTTATTTGCACCATTGGTTGTTGGTTGATAAGGAAGCGACTGTACATGATTGATACCTTTATTCATACAGAGCTTCAAATTCTGCACTCGCCAGTTGAAATATTTTTATCCTGATGTAAAAGAAAGGAATTCATTATCAAAATAAATAAATCCAGAAAACTAAATCCAGCTCAGATTTAGTTTTCTCTGATCGTGATTCTAGCCGTAAAAGCCTATGTTCTTATATCCATAGTCTTCGATATATTCTCAACTAAAGAAATGTAAATACTAGTAATTGTGATAAGTAAAAAATATAATTATATTACAGGCAAAGTATGAAACAATGTATTTTAAATGAATTTAATCAAGTTGATCCATTTACGATCTCTACATCTTCTTCCCCTTCAGTGCCTGCATCATTACTTTCATCAGAACTTTCTTCATTGCTCACACTCACTTCTGTATTATTTTCTTGCTTGTTTACATATCTGAAACAATAATATATAATTCATTTTCTCAATGGAGCGCATCAAAAATACAATATTAGTGTGGTTATTTTACTAAAAAGCTACAGAAGNATGATATTTAGTATGTTATAAAAATATCCCTAGACTTTTCCGATGTGTGTATGTACAAATTACATGCAATCCAAATGGTTCCTAACAGGAAAAATAGTAGAATAACCCTGCTAAATCAACTTACTCTTGAACAATTTTTTCAATTTTATTTTGTCCTTCTGAATATTGTTCTGTCAAGACCAAATTTAAAGATGGGTCGTTTTTGGCAGGATCAGTACTCTCTTTTATGAACATATAATGAGAATCATAAAGTTCACGTCTTCTTCTATTTTGTAAAAGCTCCCCTAATTTTTTAAAACAATGAATGCCTGAAAAGTTACCAAACAGGTATTTTTCATTAATAAAAAGATAAAAACACAAACTCACTTTCTGATTTAATTTTAGAATCACTCAATTCCAGGTTGTTTTCTTCAGCAATTTTCTTGATGAATGTTTCCATTTCTGAATAACTAGGGAATTTCTTATTATTTTTATACTTTTTGCTGATGGCTCTGTTAATTTCATTATATTCTGAATCAGAAAAATCAAGTTTTGAGTAAGTCAACCTTCCACTGTATGGGTTTTTTTCTAGAAGCTCACAATATTTATGGTGAACTTTCTTCAAACGATTAGTGTACCTGCAAAAAAACACAAAATCAACTTAGCTGAGTTTTATAAAGTGACCCCTACGATACATGTGGTAGCGCTGCATATTTTCATACTGTGTCAAAATTCAAGTTATGATTTTTCAGATCATTTTCAGCTGTATGGAAGAACGGGGTTATACGTCAATCTCGTATAAACATTTTATTGTATATAATGAAATTCATGCAGCTGAATTTTTATATTTTGAAAATAATAAAGGGAATCCTCAGTAGTATTTTCACGGAGATTAAGGGTGCATCTCATCACCATATCAACATGCTGCGAACTTAATGCGGATAATATTAATATTAACACTCGCAAACATTCAGCTGACGGCGAATTTTTCTTTTGTTGACAATGAAAATTGTAGAGTTCAACAGTTCGTTATCAAGTCCGCCTACGAGTACAACGGCGAAGAACAGACGAAAGAACGATGTATGTAACTCGAAAGTATTGCTGGATTGGTTTACGTCTTCGCTAAGGAACTGAAGCTTCTATACAGGTTCAATAAAAACAAAAAGTATATAAGGAAAAATTTTATTGAAGGTTTCTTGCAGAAATTCAAGTTATCTTAGAGAAAACCACAGCAGACGTCCTTGGCTCGGCTCTAATGTTTTAATAAACCCAACGTGGAGAAATTTTTCGCCATTTTAACGGAAATACTGCAAAAATGTAATTTGCCACTTCAGCAAATTTATAATATTGACGAAACTGGATGCTCCACTACCTAACAACTTTATAGATCCCACATGCAAGAAACAAGTGGCAAAATTGTCGTTCAGGTGAAAGGAACTAAGGGAAGAAAAATAATGACAGCATAGTTTGATGTATCAATACCTCTGGGCACTCCAGAGCGAGTTCCAGTGTAATCAAGGAAGTTATATGATGTGGTAGCCCTCAATCCTTGAAGAAGATTTCTGTTTTTAACCTGAAAGATGTGCTCTTGAAAATATATGGGCTGGAAATTTTTCCCTCTAGCAATGCTGGATAACCTAATTCACTCTCATAATATTTACAACTTCATTCACCTGTTGCTGAGTCTGTTCTAATTTGGAAGGGCCTCGACCACTGGAATTTTCCATTTCAGGGCTTGGAAAAAAAATTAGTATCAGTAGGCTTTAGTTCATCAGTAGTTCTGTAACTCATATCTTATCTTTGAATTGATCACAATAAACAAATGAGATATGATAAACAGTGCGTAGTTATCTTGGCGTAGAAAGCTGACGCCCTGATATAGCACTCTCACCCTATTCTGTAACCAAATTTACACTGAAACATTTTTAGTCCGGTCAGTTCGGTGACTAAGTGTTTACATCCAAAACTTTTATGAAGTTTTGAAACAACATAACACAACAAACATATTCATAAGAATAAATCAATACAAAACAGAAATTGTAATTTCCACGATCATAATACAATTGAACGAGATTCATTAAAAGCAAGTAGATTCAGAAAGCAGAAAAATTCAAGTAGAAATTATATCGATGTTGATCTTTACAATATTCTATCTTCCCATGTCAGAGAGCTAAATAAATATTTATGTAGCTGATCTATCCCGTGCAACACAAATTAATTGCTAAGCAGTATAATATTCGTTGCATGTTGGTTATTCCTCGGTTCACTCCGTCTGAAATTACTCCCCCCCCCCCC